GGTGGAGGGGAGGGAGCACAGGGAATGGGGAAAAAATAAGAACCAAGATACATCATGTACAGGTACAAGCACCCAATGATAAATGTATTGTATACCTAAAAAGAATTTTTTTCTTTTTTTTTGGTACCGGGGATCAAACTCTGGACCTTGCACTTGCGAGGCAAGCACCAGAACCACTGAGCTAAATCCCCAGCCCAAAAATCAGTAGTATTTTTTTTTGGTACCAGGGATCGAACTCAGGACCTTGCGCTTGCGAGGCAGGTGCCGGAACCACTGAGCTAAATCCCCGGGCCCTAAAAAGAATTTTTTAAAAAAATTAACTTGAAATGACTCAAAAATCTAAATGTAAAAGATAAAACTAGAAACACTAGCAGAAAACACAGGAGAAAAATCTTTGTGACTACTGAATATAAAAAATCAAAAATCCTAGAACATAAAAAATAACAAACCATAAAGGATAAACATTACTTCTTCAAACTTGTAAACTGCTCTTTTAAACACATTCTTAAGAAAATGAAAAAGGATGCCACAGACTAGAAGAAAATATTCACAATAAACTTTTCAACAGCAAACTTATATGCCAAATGATGAATTCTTACAACTTGATCATAACATACGCGACCCAATTCTTAAATATGAGCAAAATAGTTTATATGAATGGCCAATAAGCACATGAAAAGATGCTCGAAACCAGCCAGGTATGGTGGCTCACACCTGTAATTCCAGCACTCTGGGAGGTTGGCTGAGGTTAAGAGAATTGTAAATTCAAGCCCAGCATTGGCAACTTAGCAAGATCCTATCTTAAAAAATTTTTAAAAGGGAGTTGGGAGTGGTATGTTCAATGTGAAGGCTCTGGGTTGAAACTCCAGTACCGCATAAATAAAATGCTCAAAATCATTAGCCATCAACCAAAGACAATTTAAAACCAAAAAGAAACACTACCGTGTACTCATAGACTAAAAGTTAAATTAGTTTTAATATCAAGTGCTGCTAAGACTAAGGAGCTGGTAGAAATATAAAATAATACAGAATAAGCTTGGCATGGTGGTGCACGCCAGTAATCCCAGCAATCAGGAGGCTGAAGCGGCATGAATGCTATGAGTTCAAGGCCAGTCTAAACTACATAGTGATACCATGTCTCAAAGAACCAAAAAAAATTAAAAATTAAAAAAATAAAATAAAATAGTACAGAATAGAAAACAGCTGGGCAGTTTCTTATAAAGTTAAATGCTTACTTACCATAAAAGCTAGTCATTCCAGTCCTAGGTATTTACATAAGAAATAAAAAGATGTCCATACAAATACTTTACACAAACATTCATCATAGCTTTATTCAAAACAGCATAACTACAAACAACCTAAGTGTTCATCAAAAGGCAAATAAATAGTATATTCATACAGCGACTACTACTCAAGAATAAAAATGAACTAATGACACAGCCAACAGCACATCTTAGTCTCAAAAACATGGAGCCATACACAAGAATATACATTGTAGAGCACATTCATAAAGATTCTACAACATCAAAACTAATCTACATTGAGAAAAAGTAGTTCAGGAGTTAGCAGGGTCAGAGGTGAGGAACAGGGACTGGCTGTGAAGGAGTACAGGGAACTCTGATCTGAGAGACATGTTTTATATCTCACCTGTGACAAGGGTTTTAGGGGGTTCTCATGTTTGTCAAAACTCATTAAACTGTACACTTTAAAAAGCTGCATATTACTGTACATAAATTTTATTTCTGGATTCTGCCATCTTTAGTTCCAGTAATTTGAGATGCCATCTTTATTACAAGAAATCCTTTTGAAAAGGTAAAAACAGAAATTTTAATTTGATTTCAATTTTAAAATAGGCATGGAACAAAAGGCAATATACATATAACATATAAAAAGAATGTTTAAACTCAGGACTGAAGCCATGCATGGTGAGACATGCCTGTAACCCCAGCACTCTGGGAATCTGAAGCTGGAGGACCAATTCAGGCCTCACGTTGGTAACTTAGCAAGGCACAGCCTCAAAATTTAAAAGGGCTGGGGATATAACTCAATGTAAATGCCTTAGGTTCAATTTCCAGCACCACACAAAAAAAAGCAAGGCCTTTCATTTAAAAAAACTCTGACCTTTCATTTGATTAACCTAGGAAATAATCTTTTTTTTGAGGGGGTACCAGGGATCAAACTCAGGACCTTCCACTTGCAAGGCAGGTGGCGGCCCAATTGAGCTAAATCCCCAGCCCATCCTAGGAAATAATCTTGAAAAGATGATATTCTTATTTATGTCTAGTACTATGAAAACCACAACATACTTCTAAAGGGTTGCACTGGCAAAATCCTCAATGACAAAACTGAAATGTTATTCTACAAAGTCCTTTTCTCTCCATGGGGCCTCTATTAGCTGACTCTTCTCTCCTTTTCTGTCTCTGCCTATAACTTACTATGCAGAGCTGAAATATTGCTAAGTCAATACAATCAGTTTCTATCCTCTAAAAAGTAAGTACTTTTTATTTTTACTTTAAAGAAAACCTGAAGTTGTTGTTACACTTACATGGTCTGGTTCATTGCTCAGTTGAGTCAGTAAAGGGAGAGTGTGGAACAACTCTCAACTCGATCTAAATGTATGATGAAGAGTCTGTCTAAAATACAAAGTTGTCAAAAAGCTGTCCATTCTTATGAAGAACTTTCTTTTTTTTTTTTTTTTGTACCAGGGATCAAACTTGGGACCTTGCGCTTGTGAGGCAGGCACCAGAACCACTGAGCTAAATCCCCGGCCCATGAACAACTTTCTAACAACATTCTCTAACCAATAAAAACATCTGACTTCAGGTTATAAGTATTATTTATGTTACTCTTGGTATCAGAATCTTACTCATTTAATTGGAACTTACTATTATTAAAGTTTATATATCCACATTTTGAGTATCATGAGGAAAATAACTAATGTACCACGCAAAGCGACAGTAGCTGGGCATGACAGTGCATGACTGTTAAGCCAGCACTCTGGGAAGCAGAAGTAGAGGAGAATGGAAAGTCTGAGCCCAGTCTGGGCAACTTAGCAAGACCCTGTCCCCCCCAAAAAATTTTTAATGTTTTGTTTGTTTTTGCTTTTTTTTTTTTTTTTTTGAAATAGGGCTTCGCTATGTAGCTTAGGCAAGCTTTGAACTCACTAGGTAGCCCACGTTGGCCTCAAACTCAAGACAATCCTCCTGCCTCAGCCTTCCAAGTGCTGAGATTACACATCCAGCACTAAAATTGAAAAACTGTTTAAAAGGGCTAGAGAAGTAACTCAGTATGAATATGCTGGATCCAATCCCCAATGCAGGAGGAAAAAAAGCTAAAGTAAAACACAAATGCTTACAACAACTGTGCCATGAGTCAAATATGTTTTCAAAAAGCTAAATACTGAACATCATAAAAATATCAGCTTGATTAAATGAATTCCAAATATGGGCTTTTTAAATTTTTATTTTAACTGTGAAATTTTGCTTCCACTCAAGTAACAATTAGGTAAATCCATCAGATTAGGCTAATCATAAATTAAATCTAGGTACCATGTAATTATATAAAATGTTTTAATTACCATCACCAGAATGGTGGCTATCAAAGAGCAGATAATCTTAAAATAATCCCATTAGGATCAGAAGAGTCAGAGCTAAACATAATTGTTCTAGGACACTATCATTAAGAAAGGGAAAGCATTTTATTGCAAGAACATGGATTTCAACTAGTATTTACATTTCAAAAGTTCCCTAACAATCATGCTTGACTTTTACCAATCATAAAAGAAGGTAGTTTCTGGGGAGGAAAGAAAACCACATACATCAATTGCTAATCTTTATTAAGCTCAGACCCATCGCTAAGACACTGTCATTCCCTTCCATTAATAAAGATAACATTTAACATCAGTGATGAACCTAGGTTTCGTTTGTGCTTTATGGTCATTTTTCTGAACTCTTACATTTTTGTGACATTCCTTAAGCAAGTTAATCAAGATGTTGCATTCTTCTGTGTGCAGGTGTAGAGACAAGTCAGGATGCATCTTCAGGAGGTAACAGATCACAGCAGTGCAACCTGTGAATACAACAATGTCTTGAATGCACAGGAACAGATTCATGGATGCCATCTAAAAAAACATTTTTTAGTAAGAACTTGCAATGACCTTTAACAGAAAAGAATGTTAACCATTAACTAGCTGTGTGACCTTAGGCAAATTATTAAACTTGAGCTTTAGCTTCTTTATCCAGTAATTCAGCAATTTAGCAGTGTACATTGAACCTGCCAATCCAGAAGGTAAAAAAGCAGACTCTTCAAGAAAGCTCATCCTGGAAATAAGTGCTCAAGCAGAAGCCACTTGCTTGTATTACTAAGCCTGGCTTCAAATATTTCCCTCATATTCCTTAAACTGATCACCACTCATTTTGTTCAGAGGAAATTCTACCAATTAAGAGAAATGAATAAATTCTTTTAAAATGTATATTCTTCTGAGAGGGCTAAGTGAGTATTAGCCAGTCTCACATAAGTGTGAATTAATACCAAATGATTTCTTTTTAACATTTGGCTGAGAAACCCTGGTTAAACAATAAAGTGAAACAAGAAGCAGATGTGCAATTGTTTTTTCAAATTTAGCAGATACATCCATAAAACTATTACACTGAAAACAGGAAGCTAAAATGCTTGAGATTAAATATAGGTAATTGGTTCATTCACAAAGTAGAAATGTAGCAACCAAGGTCAAAGCAAAAACACTATTTGAAGGTGTGTGCTATATTATATAATATTATTCAGCTATTACTTTTTTAAAAAACTATTCTAGGTCAGGAAAGATTACCAAAAGAAATAATGGATTAATTGCATCAATCTTTTTTAAAATTCCCAAAAAAGGAAACACAGGAACTACCTCACGCTCATTAAGGTGGCTTCTATTTAAAAAGAAAAAAAAGTGTTAGAATTTGGAATAATTGGAACCCTTGTGAACTACTGGTGGTAAGGTAAAATGGTACAGCCACTGTGGAAAATGGTATGGTGATTAGTCAGAACCTAAAAGCAGAATTACGATGTGATCCAGCAATTCCAATTCCCAAAAGAACCAAAAGCAGGGTCTTGAAGAGACAGTGACAGACCCACATGCATAGTACATTATTCCTAACAGCTAAAACAAGCAACCCAAGAAACCATGTTGATATGAATGGATAAGCACACTGTGGTATTCACATACGACATAATATTAAGCCTTAAAAAGGAAAGGAAATCTAACATATGCTACAACATGATAACCGTGAAGACACTATAGTGAATCAAATGAGCCAATCACAAAAAGACAAATGCTGTAGTGACACTCATGAGGTACAGTACCTACAGTAGTCAAAATCATAGATACAAAAAGTAGAATGATGGTTGCCAAGAGCTAGACAGGAAAGAACGAAGTTACTGTTTAATGGGCACAGAGTTTCGGCTTTAGAAGATACAGTATTGATGGGAGCTAGGGATATAGCTCAGTGGTAGAGGGCTTGCCTAGCACAAGTGAGGCCCTGGGTTTGATCTCCAGCTCTGCAGAATAAATGAGGGGAGAGGGAGGGAGAGAGAGAGAGGGAGAGAGGGAGGGAGGGAGGGAGGGAGAAATGTAACTTCAAAAACATTTTTTTTAATTTGTTTTTAAAGCTGGGCATGGTGGCACACACCTGTAATCCCAGCCCTTGGAAGGATCAATTCGAGTCCAAGGCCACCCTGAGCTACCTAGTAAGTTCAAGATCAGCCTGAACTATACAATGAGACCCTGTCTCAAAAAAAAAAAATCAAAGATAGGGATGAATGCACAATATTATGTGTTTAATTCCAATGTACTGAATGCTAAAACTGGTTAATTTGATAAACTTCACACTATGTGTATTTTACTATAATTCCAAAAAGAAGGAAAAAGAGAAAGGGAAGATGGAAGGATGAAGGGAAGGAAGGAAACAGGAAAAGTCATGACCTTAGCCAAAGAGTTCTTAAATACACTGAAAACATGATCTTTAAAACTGGTATCTCACCAAAATTAAAATTTTTTTACACTTTAAAAAACACCATTAGGGCCGGGGATTTCGCTCAGTGGTTCTGGTGCCTGCCGCACAAGCACAAGGTCCCGAGTTCAATCCCCAGTACCAAAAACAAACAAACAAACAAAAAACACCATTAAGAAAAGTCAGTCACATTTTGGGTGATAATGATGTATCACTATCATCAACTATTCATTTCAGATGCTCATTTTTGGATCGGGTCTTTAAATTTGGGAGGTCTGATTTTGTTAAGTTCTTTATAGATTCTAGATAGTAGACCTTTGAGGAACAGCAGATGAAAATTTTTCCCACGCTGTGGGTTGTCTCTTCACACTGTTGCTGGTTTCTCTTGCTCTGCAGAAGCTTTTTTTTTTTTTTTGGTACCGGGGATCGAACTCAGGTCCTTGAGCTTGTGCAGCAGGCGGCAAAACCACTGAGCTAAATCCCCAGCCCCAGAAGCTTTTTAAGAAGAAGAGATCCCACTTGTGAATCATTTGTGCTAGTTCACAGGCAACTGAGGTTTTGTTCATAAAATCTTTTCCTATGAACAGACATTTCTCAGACAAAGAAGTAGAAACAGCAAATAAACAAATGAAAAAATGTTCAACATCACTGATCATTCAAGAGATGCAAATGAAAACAATGCTGAGATTCCACCTCACTCCAGAAAGAATAGCTGCTATCAAGAAATCAACCAGTAACAAATGCTGGCGGGGCTGTGGGGAAAGAGGAACCCTGCTCCGCTGCTGGTGGGAGTGCAGGATGGTGCAACCACTGTAGAAATCAGTATGCAGCTACCTCAAAGAACTAGGACTGGAAGTCCCATTTGACCCAGCTATTTGACCCAGCTGCTGGGTATCTTCCTCAAAGAATTAAAAGAATTATACTTTAGTGATATATATGCACCCATGTTCAGAGCAGCACAGTTTGTAATAGCTAAAACTTGGAAACAGCCCAAATGCCCATCAACTGGAAACTGGATAAAGAAAATGTGTTTTTTTAATAAAATGGAGTACCACTCAGCCATAAAAAATGAGAAAGTAGAGACATTTATAGCTAAATGTATGCACGTTGAGGCCATACTCTTAAGTGAAATAAACAGGACACACGTGTAAATACTGAATACTTTCTCTAGTGTGAGAAACTGAAAGTGTAAATAAGGACTAAAAGGTATAATAGATAATGTGAAATAGGAAGAAAAGGGGCAAAGGGGAAGGGAAAATACGAGGGGTATGGGAATGGAATTAATATGAGAAAATGAAAAAATGAAAACAAAGTCTTTGTAAATAGGGAGGGTTGGAAGGGTTGTAGGGAGGTCAGGGAAATGGGGAAAAAATAAGAACCAAGAGAGATTATGTAAAGGTGCAAATTTCCAATGACGAATGTCATTATGCTGTATACCTAAAATGTACCAATAAAATTATTTGTAAAAAAAAAAATATCATCAACTCTAATACATGCACCACTCTGGGTCAGAATGTTGACAGTTGTGCATGAATGAAAGAAGGGGGTATGGAATCTCTCTACTTTCTGCTCAACTTTGCTATGAACCTTACACTGTTCTAGAAAGTAAAATCGATTAATATAAATAACAACAAAAACAGGAAAGGCATAGACTAAAACAATGATGGCGAACCTTTTAGACGACTGCCCAAACTGCAACCCAAACCCACTTATTTATCACAAAGTGCCAACACTGCAATTAAACCCGAATTAAACCTGGAATTTTAGTTTAGAAAAAAACAATTCATATGTTAACATCTTTTGTCTTATCATGCATGTCATAGGTTTGACACCACTGGACTAGAAGATATCTACAAATCACATATAATAAAAGATTATAGACTTCTATTTAAAATATACAAAGAATGCTTACAATTCAGTAAGACAAATGTCATGGCCTGTGTCTCCCCACAACCACATGTGCTCACAGGTGGGGCTTTTAGGAGATGGGTGGATTATGGGTGTGTGGTACTGGATTAGTCCACTGATGGGTTTATAGCTGGGTGTGATGCCGGGAGGTGAAGCCTGGTGTGAAGAGGTGGGTCACTGTGGGCATGGCAGAGATACACACATACACACCTACATACATACATACATACATACATAGATCCCTCCTACTCCCTTGAGTGCCGCTGCTTCCTGTCTGTCTGCCATGGACCGTTTCTCCTCTGCAATCCCCCTCTGCTATGCCATCCTGCCTGGAAGCCAGCCAACTATGGACTGAAACCTCTACAAGCTGTGAACTAAAATAAACATTTCCTTCTATAACTTGTAGGTGTTGGGTATTTAATGCTAGCAGTGAGAAAGTAAGACAACAAATAATTCAATTTGTAAAACAGACACAAAAAAAACGGCAAAAGATTTGAACTGACATTTTACCAAAGATACAGGAATAGCTAATAAGTAATGAAAAGCAGTGTAACACTATTAGTCTTTAGGAAAATGCAAATTAAAATTACAGTGAGATATCACCATACCAACCAGAATAGTGACTCAAACGCTCTTCAATGGTGGAGTTACGTTCAGGTGAACCTATTATATAAGTTAAAAGTATACTCAATATACCTAATCCTCTGAACATCAGATCCTAGCCTATCTGCCTTAAATGTGCTAAGAAAACTTATATTAGCCTACTATTGGGCAAAATCATCAGACACAAGCTTATTTTATGATGAAGTGCTGATTATCACATGTATTTTATGGAATACTATACTGAAAGTGAGAAAGAATGGTTGTATGGGTACTCACCATTAATGCACACAGCTGAAAACACACTTGGCCTGAAGAATGCTGAAGCACTGAACTAAAATTTATTCCTGGATGATGTGGATGCTACAGCTCCTGGGTTATCAATTTTCCTCCCTTCTGAGGAGACTTGAGAATAGCTGATGGAAGGCATGGGAGCATTGACATTTGTTGATGGCTTAGCAGGCACAGTGTTTTTCATGATGCTATCAAGTTTTGAACACACAGTTTGTTTTTTCTTTTCATCATATATTTCTCTATAACAAACAAGAGCATCCTGTATCTGCCTGTCGGCTCTTGCAAATCTCTCATAATTGCCATCCATTTCTTCTAACATTCTCATGCCCCTGCTGATGGTAGCAAATGCCTCTGCCAGTTTTTTTGTTGTGAACTTTTTTAGTTGCTTGGGTACAATTTCTTCCTCTGCTTCAACTTCCTTACTTCTTTCTTCCTGCAATTCAATCAGTTCCTCATTAGAAATCTCCTCAGCCTTAATGCTGACAATCTCATGAATATCCTCTTCATTGATGTCCAATTCTAGCTGTTTTCCAACCACTAATATCTTATTACCTACTATTTCATCAACAGTGTGATCTTTGTTAAAGCCTTTGAATGTGTTCCCATATGTCTTCAAAACTTTCTTCCAAATGCAGTTCATGCACTGCTCTGTGACTTCTTCCCATGCTGCAGCAATATTCTGGATAGCATTCAGAATGTTAAACCCTTTCCAAAACTCTAGGAGTGTTTGGCCAGATTCAGTTGCTCTGACAGCCTGCGTAAATGTTTGACGTAAGTATTGTGCTTTGAATGCAGCTATTGCACCTTGGTCCATTGGTTGAATGAGCATGGTAGTGTTCAGCGGTAAATAGACCACTTTTACATCAGGATGCATGGTGCCAATATGTTGTGGATGCCCAGGAGCATCATCTAAAATCAGAAGAATCTTAAATGCAATGTTGTTTTGCTTACAATATTCTTTTACCTGTGGAATAAAACAGTTCAAAAACCAGTCTTCAAACAATGCCGATGTCATCCAGGCTTTCTTGTTATGGCGATAGTGAACAGGAAGTGTATGTTTGCTCACATTCTTGAAGGCTCTAGGGTTCTCCGAGTGGTAGATTAGCAAAGGCTTTAATTTGAGCCCTACAACATTTCCACCCAAAAGCAGAGTTACATGGTCTCTGAATCCTGGTATTGCCTTGGACTCTTGATGAATGTATGTGCACTCTGGGATACGCTTCCAGAACAAGCTTGTTTCGTCAACGTTAAATATTTGTTCAGGTAAATATTTCTGATCTACAATTATACTGTGCAGCTCTTCCTTAAAAGCTTCAGCACATTCAATATCAGCACCTGCTGCCTCGCCCGTGACCTTAACAGTATGAAAATTATGACGCTTTTTGAAACGTTGGAACCATCCATGACTTGCTGTAAACATCTGTGTATACGTAGGATCGGCATGCTCTTTTAGCATATTGAAAAGACTTCTTGCCTTAGCCTGGATCATCAGTAGGCTAAGTGGTATACGATTCTGAATCTGCTCTTCTATCCACTTGACCAGTAACTTTTCCATATCATCAATTGGCCCAGCTCTTTTCTTTGTGATGACAGTGGACTTAATTGATGCCGACGATTTCACTGCATCACTGATTCGCTTCTTATCCTTTAGAATGGTCGAGATGGTGGATTGGGAAAGTCCTAACTCACGTGAGATGACCATTACTGGTTTGCCACCCTCATGCTGAGCAATGATTTTCAGTTTCATCTCAAGAGTAATTGCCTTCCTCCTCTTCTTTTCACCAGAATCAGGAGACACAGGTGGGCGCTTTGTAGACATGATCGGTTATAAAAACACAGAACCCAATATGCAAAAAGTGTGGGCAAACAGTACACTGTAAAGTTTACCCTTGTGATCACAAGGCTGACTGGGAGCTACAGCTGGCTGCCACTTCCCAGTATCAAGAGAGAATATTGCACCGCATATCCCAACCAGGGAAAAGATCAAATTCAAAACTTCGATGAACAGTTTCTACAGAATGTGCATTGCTTTCACATCATTGCAAAGTTGAAAAATCCTAAGTCGAACCATCGTTATGTCAAGGACGTCTGTAATCAAAAAGCCAGACAATACCAAGCATTGGTTAGGATGTGGAGAAAATGGACTTAATGCATTGCTATTGGGGATATAAAATAGTACAGAAACTTTGGAAAACAATTCAGCAGTTGCTTAGGGGGTAAAAAACAAACTTACCATACAGCTCAGCAACTGCTCTCCTAGGAACTCACCCAAGAGAAATGAAATACAAATCTACTCAAAGACATGTATGCTCAGAGCAACATTTTATAATAGCTACTCATAACAGCAAGTACTAGAAACCATCCAAATGTCCATTAATGGATAAGTGCATAAAGAAAATGTGGCTTATCTATATAATGGAATAATACTTAGCAATTAAAAGGAACGAACTATTGATGTATGGTCTAACACTGATGAACCTCAAAAGCCCTATGTTAAATGAAACCAGCAAGATGCAAAAAACTACATATTGTATGATTCCACCTATATACAATGTCTAAAAAGGCAAATTTATAGAAACAAAAATCAAATCATTGGTTGCTAGGACTGAGGGCACAAAGGAACCTCTTTGGGTGATGAAAATGTTCTATAACTGAATTAGATTAGTGACTAGACAATTCTACAAATTTACCAAAATCACTGAATGCACTTACAATGGGTGAATTTCATGGTATACAAATTATGACTCAATAAAGCTATTTTTATAAAAAGTTCTGAGAAATTCAAACTGTCCATCCTTTCAACAAATTAAAAAGTCTAAAAAAGTAATTCCAAGGGTTTAGAACACAGCCATGATTTCAGGTCGCAACATCTATTAGTATATCAATTTCATTCAGTACCTACTAAACACTCACACCATAGCTAAAAATCACAAATCAGGATGTTGCACCCAGCTAAGTATTTATAATACTTATAATAATAAAAATGTAGTCAAATAACATGCTTCAAATATGCATGCTTCTGCAGACTCAAGTTTTGTTTGCCTGACAGTGACTACAGTCTTTTATATGACAAAGTGTCATATAGTTCGGCAATGGCAGTCATTAATATTACCCCAATATTATGTACCCACACATATGTATATAGTACATATGTATTATTTATCTGGTTTTGGCCTCACTTATTTTTTCTGTACACTGGTTTAGCCTCCTAGAAGATGTCATTAGCATTTTATTTTGTAAATGTATTTGACAAGACCTTTTTGTATATTTCTATCAACCAACCCTCAAATTTGTGTCCTTACAGTTCAAAAAACAAGCTTATGAATGCACTAAAATGACCTCTTTAATTGGTAAAGCAAATACAGACGGGTCTCCAACTTTACATGGTTCAACTCAGGATTTCATGCCTTTACAACAGTGAAAAGCAATGCACATTCAGAAACTATATACCAAATTTTGAGCCTTTCCTAAACCAGCAATATATGGTACAATACTGATACTCTCTTATGGGGCTGGGCAATAACTCCCAGTCAGTCACATGATCATAAGGGGAAACAATCCAAACTCTATAGCAGTGATGGCGAAGCTTTTAGAGACGAGTGCCCAAACTGCAACCCAGAACCCACTTATTTAATCAAGTGCCATCACTGCAATTAAACCTGAATACTGAGGTTTTAGCTTAGAAAGAACAACATTTATCCAACGCTTGGCTGCTGGGGCGACTTGGTTCATGTGCCCACTGCAGCATGCATGCTACAGGTTCACCACCACTGCTCTACAGTGTACTCATACTGCCATCACTTTTTGGGGTATTATGTTTTCACACTCCGTCATCTACAAAACACCAATCTGTGTTGGCATGAAATATTCAACACTTCACTATAAAATAGGCTGTGTTAGATAATTTTCTCAACTCTAGGTTAATATAGGTGTTCTAAGTACATTTAAGGTAGGTTAGGCTAAGCTACAATTGTTAAGGAGATCAGGTATATTACATTCTTTGGGAGGTTTTTTTGCAGTGCTGAGGATCAAGCAAGGCACCTCAGGCTTGCTAGACAAATCCTCTACATCTGAGCTACATCTCCAGACCTTCAAATACACAATATTTTCAACTTAAGAGTAAGTTTATCAGGGCCAGGGATTTAGCTCAGTGGTGCCGCCACCTGCCTCGAAAGTGCAAGGTACTGGGTTCAATCCCCGGCACCAGAAAGGAAAAAAAGGGGAGTAAGTTTATCAGGGGATGAGGACGGGCTGGGGCAGGTGGAGGCAGGGAGGAGCCCAAGACAGGAGCCTGTCCACAGCTCCAGCCAAGAAAGTAAAGAGGGCCACCAAGTCCTGCCCCGAGGGCAACCAACAGGTTTCTGCTACATGTAAATCATGTCCCTGTGGTTATATATTTATTAGCAGAAAACTTTTACATGCAAAACACTCAGAGAAATCACCATCTTCTACAGAGAAACAGGAAAAGGAAATTGACATCTATGCTAACCCTCTCTGATGAAAAGGCTTTTGGGTTTTCAGTCACCTTGGCAGAAATAAATAGAAAAATTATAAATCAAAGACTTTTTCTCTGACCCTTATCTGAAGAAGCTCTTGAAACTTCTTCAGGATTACATAAGCAAATTCTCAAAGTTATGGACTCAGGAGCTTCTGACTGCATCAATAAGAGGCACTGACTGTTTTTTATCATTTAGCCTGTGCCATACTTTGGGAGCAAAGCTGTATGCTCAGACTGTTCTGGGGTTTCCTTGTTCACCAAGGTATATTGTCAGTTTTTGTGTTGGGATATAAGTGAGGGTATTTACAAAACCAAACCAAACAAAATGTTGGATGAATGGATGTTAAAGATAAAAAAGGGGTGAGCTAGGGATTTAGCTCAGTTGGTTCTGCCTCCTGCCTTGCAAGCACCTGGTCCTGAGTTCGATCCCCAGTACCAAAAAAGAAAGATAAAAAGGGGTAGCAGTAGGGGTGGAAGTATGAAAACTAGGGAAATGAAATGCTTGATAGTTTTCAGGTTTGCCATCAGAGATGCAATATTTTAAATACTACCAGAACAAGTGATGTTTAAATATACATATGTCAGATTTTCAGCACTAACAGGTTGTATATATACAGTTCCTTTACCTTTAATAAATTGGGAATTGATATTTTATTGAATGGGGAATTAAGAACATAAGCTGTAAGTTTTGTCCTCAATTGATTTTTTTCCTTGACCATCTTTATGACTTGAAGTATGAGCTATATTTTAAGAGAGACTTTCTAAACAGTTTGGAAGTTTGGGTGCTATATGAAGAAAAACATTGAAGAATATATCATATTTCAGATGTAGCCACCTTGTTTTATTGAATGTAATTTATTCGTTACAAAAACTTTTCTCCTCTCAAGATGGTGCCTGTTAACCTAAAGTTAGAATATATTTATTATATGTAAAATAGTTCTTAGCTACTTTTTTTTTTTTTGGTACCAGGGATCAAACTCAAGACCTTTGCTCTTGTGAGGCAGGCACAGTGCCACTGAGCTAAATCCCTAGCCCATTTTATTACTAGTTTTGAAGAAACCTCTCTTGGTCGATGGATGTCCTAAGAGTATAATTACAGTTCTCTAAACACTTTTTTTAAAACAATGAGTTTCTCTAGACATAATTCCACCAGAATTCAAGAAGCACCTATACTTGAGAAAGCACTTGCCTGCTGAGGTAATATATACATGCACATTGTATACAAACATAAATATGTATCATACACATTTTTCTCCCTCCACAACAAAAGCTTACTTCAGATATATATGCTATTTTAGATCCAGCCAGGGTACCAAGTTTTCCCTTCTACTTTTTAAGATTTTAACTGGCAAATAATTTCTTGTCCTAGGTGACTATTTCAAACAATAAAATAGTTTAACTGTTTCCTTCTCTTACCCTTCTTGGTAAGAAGACACTACTTAACCAAGAGCCCTGAATACTCATCCTTATCTAACAAATTCCTCATTTTACCAATCGTTTTCCTTTCTTCCACCATACCTGTTAGCTAGATATAGTCTCCCTCCTCATTCACCCTGTGTCACCTGGCTTTGCCAGAATGTTGGCACAAACTTAGAGGTACTTCTATGCCCTTGGGTGTAATACACAAAGGAAACATAACTATCAAATAATGGCACTGTGCTCTCAGAACACATTTAAGTGACAATACCTTCCAGCAGTAGTCTTCCTATTCTAAGAACACTACTATAACTTAAGGTATTTTTAATAACTAAAGAAAATAAAAATATATATTCTATCTTCTTTTAAAAATTTCTTCAAAGCCCTGAGAAGATATTGATAGTCTAGAAAATAATTTGTTGAACACCTATCATGTGCCAGTCAAGTCTTATAATGTAACAATCATATAAAATGGATAGCTTTTTAAATTCAGTTGAGTTCTAAGAATTACCTTTTTGTCATCAAAAGATGCATTATTGGGCCGGGGATTTAGCTCAGTGATTCAGCCGCCTGTCTCGAAAGCGCAAGGTCCCGAGTTAGAGCCCCGGTACCAAAAAAAAAAACAAAAACGCATTATCCATATTTTCATGGAAAACTAAGCCCCACATCATATCGTATGTAGCAGAGTTAAGACCCAACATACTCTCTCACCCTGATGGAATTTTCCCATGTTCCAAATAGAAGACATGTCTTCATACAGTTTGTGAATGACATAAAATCAGAGAGAGAAAAAAAAACCTATTTCTCCAAAAACCTCTGTTGGCTACAAGTTCATCAGGCATCAATTCTAGGCCTAAGTTCCAAAGAAGCCATGGTATTACCCTGTATTATAAGAAGTAGAGGGTATGACTAGATTGAAAAAAAAGAACAGAATTGTATGTGTCACTTAGCTCATACAGAACACTGATAGTTTGAACACTGCTGTAGGCTGAGGATTCAGGATGGAAATGGGTCCAACACTAGATTTAAACAAAAATCCAATGATTAAACTGGGAATATTTACTAACTTAGAGAAGTCCACAACTGAGGAGGTACAAAAATGAAACAGCCTCAAGGTGCATCCATTTACCCTTGAGATTATACCCTTAAGTGAAATAAATCGGACACACATGTGTGAATATTGCATTGACTCTCCTCTGTGAGAAAGCAA